TGGGCACCACTAGATTCCTCAACTGTACTTTTTTTATCTAGCATTTTTAACTATAATGATTGTTTTTAATTCTCTATCCGGTAATTATCAACGAATGTTGATTACGAAAGCACTTTGCTTGCTTTATTTAATTTCATTTATGGTGCGCGTTAACCGAATTTAAATTTCAGTCGACGTTAACAGAATTAATTGCAAGCGGTAACGATTTACAATAATTGAATTTGCTTTTGCGGTTCGACGAATTTGAAAAAGGAATTGTACAACTAACTAGCTGTTGCCCACGACTTCGTCCATGCAATATTAAGATAAAAAAAACCTATAATATGCCCGTCTATGTCAGCTACCCTCCAGTGAAAGTAGAGTTGAAATCGGCCCGGCTGTTTTGGAGATTACCCGGAACAAACGCAACTTGCGGACAGGCAGACAAACAATTTTTATTTTTAAATCGGATTTGCGTTATTAGCAATTATCGAAATCTGGTATTTTTATTTTGATATTACAAACAGACACTTTATTTTTATTACATGTATAGATATAGAAGATAACATACAGGTTTTTTTCTGTACTTTTCTTTGAGAGATGAACAGCTTATTTGTGGATTCTCTGAATAAATTCGATTAAAAATTAAACATAAGAACTATGTAAACGGTAAACCAGAATGCTTTTTGGATACGTTTTAAAATTAACCACACTGTTTAAATTGCTTTAGCATTGACGAAAGGCTTTTATGTTCGAAACTGTAATTACAAAATACTTTTTCTTAAATAACAATAAAACTTCAGGTATTAGGTATAATCGCGGAAATCCGCGGTGATTCACGGATTGTCTTGTTCATTGCACACAAACTCCGCCTTCTACAAATAACTAATTGGATAGCAGGGAGTGCAATGGGATAATAATAAAGGAAACTAGCCGTGTATCATTAACCGACTTTTTTTTCGTACAGATTATTTATAAGCTGCGTTGTATCTGTTTTTGTTTTTTGTTTCAAAATATTTAAACGATTGTAGGATTTAAGAACACCGCCAGTTGCCTCGATTGTACCTATTACATAAGAATTGTAACAAGATCAGGGAAACAAGCCAGTAGCTGGCACACTTTCATGCCAGTTAAAGGCACATCTATACTAATATTATAAAGAGTAAAGATTTGTCTTTTTGAATTTTTGTATGTATTGAAATGACTCAAAAACTTCTTGGCCGATTTTTAAAATTCTTTCACTGTTAGAAAGGTAATTTATCTGTGAGTAACGTAGGTTATATTTTTTAATTTCACGCGGGCAAAGTCGCGAGCAACAGCTAGTAGACATAAAGTGTTATATGTTTGGATACTCGCTCGTACACAGTACACTGCTCGCGTAATTTTGTTGACCGACTTCCCAAAAGAAGGAGCTACTCAATTCGTCGATATGTTTTTTTTAAATATTTTTTTAATTGTATTAAGACAGCAATTATGTTGGTTGTACTTTTCCCATCTCTGCTTACACGAATCAACAATTTGGTACACCTTAACAACCGGAGACTACGCACGAAACCTCTCATTTTGTACGGTAGATTGGATTTTTTTTTGTATCCCTTTACTGTTTTACAACTGCTTAAAATTATACGGGGAAAGGTCGGCACGAGAGTATGGATATGGCTTTTGTAATATAAATATTAATTATTATAAAGTAGTCTTACCTAAATGTGGCCATAAAAGGAGATTCAAACGGGCCACTATCATGTAATCATAAGATCAATCAGGGTCTTCTGTAAAAGAAGAAATTTCTCAATGGAGAAAACATTCTAAAAATCCAATCTTTCCTCTCATTTGCTTAAAGTTTTAAAGACTGATTGCTGATGAAATAAAAAAAAATTATTGTAAAGTACAAGAGTTGCATTCTATATTTACTTGTTATAACAATGTTGTATGTTTATGTATGTTCCTTGTGTAGTTTCAATTATAAACCTACAGAGATTATAGCAGTTGCTAATTTTTTCAACTAACGATGTCATCTTGAAAGTGTCACATATGTACATATTGACGAGAGAGCGTCAACAGCACGGACGAATATCGCCAATTATATCGAAAATTCTGAAAAAATATCATATGTACTGATCTAATGTATTTGCTGATATCTAAATTATTAAAAACCATTATATGACGGTATAGCATCGACAAAATTATGTTTGATATTTGGTGTACTTTATCTCCGATAGAGGCGCTACACAAATGTAACAAATTCTCGATGACGTTGCTAAAACGTTCTCCTACATTCGTGATAAGATAGCATTAATGCTGAATGCAAGATGCGTATATCAACTAAAAGTAAAAAAAGCCATTTCCGTATAACCATATCACCATCGGAGCCGCGTTTCGGCGCAGCATCCGGCGATTATATCCATCTGTAGACGCACTTACTCAACTAATCAGGCTATTTTTGTTTAAATAACCACCAACTTCTTACGTTCTATCTTCAATATAATTCTATAAGAACTTTTGGCAACAATATTTCTAGAGCAAATAATCCAAGTTAAACTATAAATGGACACCATCATCTTCGTTTGTTTCATCTAGGTAACTCTATCATACGTCATCTCAGTCACCATTCCCTTCTTGATCTCAACATTTACGCAATCCATCCATCTCTTTCCACGTCTACCTCTACCGGTGTACCTCCACATTCATAACTAACATTATTCTTGTTACATGTGGGTCATCCCTCCTCATCACCATACCAAGTTAATCTTTTACTCCTTATTTCTCCACTGGGGTTACTCTCAAACGTCCTTTAATATATTCATTTCGTATCTTATTTATTCGTTACTCCTCACATCTTAACATTCGTTCATAAAAGTACTGATAACACAAAGACCGCGCACACCTTTGACTAAACTATTCCACAACTCGTTTCCACAAGTCTCGATTTAATTCCTATGACTTTATACGAAGGTGCGCATACTACTAGATTTTAAGTTGTACTAAACAGTTGAATTGGCTGCGAAACAATCGACAATCGCACAACTATTGTGCAATAGTTTAGTCCAAAGTGTGCGCGCTCTAAGAATATAAGAATGAATAATTTAGCAAATGTTACATTGTAAGGTATAACTCCTGCTTACCCTTACAGGTTTCCAGCGTGAGTATTTATTTATAAGCCCTATTTCTAAGCAGTTGTATCGGTAGCCTTCACTTCATTTCAGCGCACATCAAAATTTACGACTTCGCCGCTGGACCTTACTATTAACGTGTTCATATTAGGCTGCATGAATAAAAATTAAAAAGTTTATTTGATATTTAAAACCATTCAAAAGAAAAACTTATAAATAACGATAGATTAAACATTGCATAATGAAGTTAAACAGAAATAAAATCGGATATTTCGTTCAATTTTGGTCCGAGATTCGTTCAGCAGTTTACGCGTCAAATTATCAAACATCCATCAATCTAAACTCTTGCATTTATTTTTGTGGTCGGTACAAATCAATGGTACGCCGCATACGGTTGCGAAAATATAGTTTAAATTTTTCAGCCGGGGTTATTGCGGGTAATCGAATGCATTTTTATTCTCCCGTACTAGTGGGTAGATTTGAAA